TCTTTTTCGTTTAATAATTAAATGTTTATATCTTTTTCAAAAGTTTTTTCTATTATTGTTTTTTTTATTATTTTTTTTTATATTTGTTTTTTGTGTTTCTTTATTTTATTACAATGGGGGATTTTAGAAATCAGTTGTGACCTCTTATTGAATTGGGATTGTTTCTCTTAGAACAATATTCTTAAATTGTATTTGAAACACAAATAAATTGGAGCAATTGAGCGTATACTCTATTCAATATTATATGATCATTCCAGTGTTTCCTTCATTTGTTATAAGTGCAGAAGATGCTATCAGGAGCCTACTTGATTGGATATTAATTGCGCACCCGATATTAGATGGTCATCCAAGTGCTTCTTTCATTTGCTTCTCAGTACATGACATGCTACTAAAACGTATTTTGCTATTTCATTTCTTTTTAACTGAGTATTATTCTACAACCGATATTATATGGTCATCTGCGTATTTGGTCGTTTGCTTATCACTAGAACTCATCTTCCTAGCAGATGTTTTGAAGTCTCAATCTTTAAGAAAAATGCAAAGTCTTCACATTCCATGAGAGTAAGTTATAAGTTTTGTTAGGTGACAATTCCACTCAGTGTACTATCAATTTTTATCAAAATTTTTTAATTATTTTTATTCAGTTACATACAAACTAAAGTATTTAAGTTAAACGATTTTAATTGTGATAGCCCTGGTGAATTGTCTCAATGTGTAGTCCTCTCTTTTAGCCATTTTTCGAGTTACAAAATGTTTTTTTTTTTAAATAAATATTATACAATATTAGTTATAATGCAATTTAAAAATGAATATGAATATTTTCAACTGCAATCTTTATGCAGTTCTCCTCTCTTTCACATCTGAAATTGTTTACATATAATATTGTTTTTCATTAAAACAACAACACAGAAACAATCTCTTTGGCAATAGCTACAGAATTAAATTATTTTGTTGATTTTGCAAATATTCTTCGTATTTTTTTTCTTGTTTATATTTGCGTATTTTTGTAAATATTTTCCATAGAGATTTTTTTTAATATTTTTTCATTTAATTTGGCCTCCAAAAGTGTTGAGTATATTTACATACAAGTATTTCAATCTAAGTGTGTGTGTATTTTATAAATTGAAAAAATATTTGATCGCTTGGATTTCTGAAAAAAAAGGAGTTAAACTTTCAAATAATATATAATGTCAAGGCGACGAAAGAGCCCACATGTATATGAGTATGTGTTTAGATGAAAGCTTAAATAAAATATTAGTGAGTGTATACCAATAAAGATTATGTACATACATGATACAGTGAAAACTCTCCATCTTATGTTCTAAGTACATAGTAGTTAGAATTTAATAGTTATAATAATAGTTTCGGAGTTATTTTTTATATCTTTTTGTTTAGGAGTATAACTTGAGTTTAGGAATATTATTATTTATGTATTACTAAACTTCTATTTGATATATATTCTATACTCATATCAAGGAGTAGAAATTGACTTCTATTATGTCGACTTTTACAGTTTTGTTTTAAACGTTGATGAGATACTTTATCTCTGCTAGACTATAACACCGTGATTCAAAGAGTTCGTTTATTTTATTTTATTTTAAATAAACAGACACAAAGATAATTTCATTTATAAAATGTTCATTCTGCTTATCAACTGTGAATGCAGTATGGAAACATTTTCAAAGTTCAAATAGTTTTCTTGTGATTTAACCCATGACGTACTTTTTCAATTTTAGTTGTTCTAGAAACACTTAATATTAATATTCTTGGTTTTTAATTGCAGCTGTAGTTCTTGAAAACGAATAATGTGTATGCTTTGTAGTTCTCTGTAAAGATATTTTTTTATAAAATAATCGAATTCCTTTGCAAATAAAGTAGACAGGCTTTCTATAGCGAAATTTCTTTGTAATAAATGAGTGTATGCTACATATCCATGCATTCCCGAAAAAGAAGGAGAGGTTGGGTCTTTAGTCCCTATACTAAACAGTCGGGTATACCACTCCAGCGACAGTTGGTTAAACGGTGGTTAAACCATCACACTTTCTCATCCACGAAATAAAAGTAATAGAATCACAGAAGATAAAGATAGTTTGAAAAGACACAACAATTTGGAGGTAGCTACAAGAGTTCAGGTGCTATTCTATTAGTCATTTGTGTGGTGCAATAAAGGCATTAACGTACTATATTTCTATCAAAATGGCGCTGTCAATCTAATATTTGAATTTAATGATACACATTTTAGTTTTGCAATAATTGAAAAGTACATAATTAATTAATTTAATTTTATTTATTCAAACAAACACCTTTGATGTATGACAAATATAATTTTTTTCTTATTTTTTTTTATATTTTCTTATTTTATATAATATCTGAAAACATCTACATTATGCTGTATACTGTACATGTAATAGTAGTGAGAGTCTTCAGTGATTTTTCTTAATTTTATAAAAAATAAACAACTAAATATTAAGTAATTTAGGCGCCCGTTAGCCAAAAAAATTTGGCTCGTATGTCGTTATTATGTCCCTCTGTCAAATAGTCATCACATCTGTAAATTATACAAACCAAATAAAAAAAAAAATATAAAATATTTCTAAAATATAAAATTCTAAAAAAATATAACAAATGAAATAGTAATGACATGGTTTGTTTATAAATATGTTTAGTCTGTAATTTTTTTTTTAAATTTGTTTTATGATTTAAATTTCTTAAATTATAAAACATAAATTTGTTTCTTTAATATTTTTGTTTTTTTAAATATGTTTTTATAAGTTCGACATTGGATTGAATTATTGCACTTGCGAATTTTTTTCAGTGTATACAAATTTTTTGTATACATACAGGCACTATTTCATATGCTATATAAATTCTTAATTAAATATTTTTATTTTTAGTCATAAGTATGTATATAAACACTTCAGTAGTATTGTAACTTAATTTTTGTAGATAAATGGTTTATTAAATATTTTATATAATGAAGAAATCTTATGTTAATGAATAATGAAAGAATTTTATGTTTTTATAATAGAAAATAGTGATGTTTTTTTAGAACATTAGTGAACTACAACAATATAATAGTAATAATTTTATTGATTAGGAAAAGAACATAAATCAAAGATAAAATTTCTCTATTCTATAAGAATATATATCATTCTCTATCTGTAAGCAGCCTTATGTCGAATCTCTCTCCATGATCATAACTGCCGATATTCTGCAAAAGTAGATGGAGATTATTTAATTTGAGAATTCCCTACTCAATGGATATTATTTCTTTTATATAGTTTACAAATATTTGAACAAATATTTTAATTTGGAATTAAAAATTCTTTTTAAATAATAAATAAATAATTAAAACTAAGTAAACTCTTAACACAAAAAACCTAAAGTAAACTTTTTTTAAAAATATTTTATTTATAAAATTTTAAATTTAAAATCAATTATGACGAAAGATGGTATTTCTTAATACAAACTATTGTTTTAATAGAGAAGTATTTTGAAGAGTAGTGACTTACAACAACAAAATTTAATTATTTATTGATTAATTGAACCTTTGGTATTTGCAGTCTCAAAAAATTTTTGACGTATAATTAAAAATAAGAAGTATTTCTAAAAGTCCACTGATAATGGTCTATCAAATAGCTGTTTAGTCAGTTAAAATTTCAATAATGTAATAAATAATATAATTTTGTTGTTGTAATTTACTACTGTTCAAAACTTCTCTCTATCTCTATTAAATTTATTATTATTTTATTTCAATCAGTAGTATTATCGTACCACATTACTTTTAACTTACATTCGTTATAATATCAAAGGTTATAAACATGTTTTAAAAAAACACTTATAAAAGTTCTACCTATATCCGTTCTTTAAAGAACTGACATTATATGTTAATTAATTTATAAACATGTAACTTTTTATTCTATCTTTTTTTATCTAAGTTAGTTTTTTGTTTATAATTTTAGTTCTAGGTACTACATATTAATCTCAAATTGCCTTTTTTGCGGATTAATATTAATTAATTAATCTATTTATTATCAATTAATTAATTAATTAATTAAGTTATTAATTAATTAAATACGTTATTTATTAATTAATTAAGTTATTAATTAATTAAATAAGTTATTAATTAATTGATTATTAATTAAACGATTAATTAATTAATTAATAATTTAATTAATTAATTAATAATTTAATTAATTAATTAAATTAAATTAATTAATTAATTTATTATTAATTAAGTACTTAATGAATTAATTTTTTTATTAATTAATGATTAATAAAATAGTTTCTCTTCATTTTTAATATTTAGTCCTATTTCTAGTCTTATTGGATTATTATTATAATATATCATTATTATTATCATTATTATTTTCAGTTTAAAATTTATTTAATTGAAGTCATATTCAATTATTTTCCTCTTAAGTTTGTATTTGAATTTAAAACTCAACTGTATTAATTTTCTTAAAATTGTCTTACTAAAATTCTTTGAAAATAAACCACAAGTAACTAACACTTTATCTGAAATATGCACAAAAACATCAATTGACAAAGTTCAAAGCAAAATACATAAATTTTCTAAAGGACCTAATATATTATCATGCAATTTATTCTAGAAAATGCAATAAATTTTCCAAATAATGCCAAACTGTACTGAATTCTTAATGAGTCTGAAACCGCCGTACTCAGGAAAAATGGCGTCTTTATTCAAAACATTTGTGAGCTTATGTAAACATAACTCCATTTTGTTTTTACTTCATTTTTTTTTTTTTTTTTTTTCATAGGAGAGCTAAAAATTCCATAAGCTGAAGAAAACTCATAAATTATTTGCTTCAACATATAGACTAAATTAACACTTTTAGATTTCAAACATTTAATAAAATCTACAAAATTTTACACAATTCGTTTTAATTTTCAGAAAAAATCAAAAATTTTTGAATTTAAAGAAGTTAAAAATAATTTCAAAATACCAAAATAATATGAGAAGTAAAATTGAAAAATATAAACAAAATTATAATTTGAACTGCATGAACTTGTGTGGAGTTAATTATTAAGAAGCAAAATCAAATCTATGGAAGAAAGAAAATATTATGGCTAAAAATAAATAAGTCAAAAAAAAAAACAGAAAAGAACACTAAAATCATAAAAACCAATTTTAATGCCGCTTGGCTACAAGTGAAAAACATTTCTTACCAAAAAAAAAAAATAAAATAAATTCAATATTTAAAATCGAACCAATGCACAAACGTAGCGTTGGTCCAAAAATCAAATTAAGTTAAAAATAAAACATGAAATAAGCATCGATATAATATTGAAGATATATATTTTTATATATGCCCTATACGTTTCTACTATACGTTTTTATGCAACGGCAGGACTCACACTGAGTACGGAAACATCGCTCTATGCACACTGAAGCATTAACATTATCAACATTATTGCTGCAACAAATATACAAATGTTGCTAATGTATTTATAACTTAAACATCGATGTTGTTAATTTTATTTGCTTTCCTAATGAGATTCGTAGACATTTCCAAATTGCAAGGCCAACGCGGCTTACGCAGCGATACTTGCAATAATAATAATAACAATAATAACAAAAATAATATTAATATTAATAATAATAATAATAATGACAACTTGAATAACAACAATGACCACAACAGCAATAATAACAGAAACACCATCTGGAAACATGTTGCTGCACAAAAACTCAATGATGCCAATAGCAGCTGTAGTAGTAGCAGCGGCTGCGATAGTAATGCTTCCTCAAAAGAAAATTTCTTTGTGGTATCAAGTAAAACCACATCTCAACAACAACAACAACAGCAGCAACAGCAACATCATAGCATAACACCACAGCAATATCAACAGTTACGTTATTACCAACAATTACAACAGCAACAATTACACTTACTACAGCAACAATTGCTGCAACGTCGTCGTTTACAGCAGCAACTACGTGAACAAGGTGTCAAAGTTGGTAATGACAATAGAAATCGCTTGAAGAGTTCTTCCTCAGCTGCTTTGACTTGTAATCAAGAGTATTTGCGACAACAACGTTTGCAGCAGCAGCAACGTCGACAATTTGATAATGTTAACGACGGCAATGATAACGATGTGCTGAATAATAATAATGAAGAATTTTATAATAATAACAAATATGATTTGAATGCATGGGAGGAACTTGATAATGTCTTTCTTAAAGGTTTGAAAATATAATTTATATAATTTTATTTTTACCCAAAAATGATTAATGCAGATCTTTTTATAGAAATTTATAATATATAATGCCACAAAATTTTTTTTAATATAAGTGATTAACATATTCAGTAAAGAGGTTTCTTAAAGTAGTGAACAACAACAACAAACATTTTTTTTATATTATTTTAATTAATTGAATTAATTTCGAAACCGCTTTACCAAAACATTTTTTTAATATATGTATAGACTTTTTGAGTTGAAAATAATTATAACTCAGTTTGTTCTAGAAAAATACCCAACAATTTAAAATTATATTATTGAATAATAATTATTAAATAAATTATTTTTGATTTTAAGTTATAAAAAAAGTTCTGTTTTAACTTTAAATTACTGTAAAGTTGAATAAAAAATTTGCTATTTGGTATATTTTGTTCCGAGATTTCCGCAAAGTAAACCTTTGATTTCATCTCCGAAATCCGAAAAGTTGGCATCTAATTCTATATGTTTTCAAACATAAAAAAACAATTATATATACATATATTATATAAATGCATAACATATGTATTTACAAATCCATATGTACATAGTACTACTCGTATATATATATAGATTAATATATATTATAATTATGTGTTTGAATGCTATTTAATTTAGCTCGTCTTCTCGTCTTCATATGAGTATCTTGACTTTATTTCTTTTGAAAATTATTTTTTGTTTTTTATTTGTTGACATATTTTATTTTTGGTATTTGGCCAATATATGTTTAAGTATTGTATAATATATATTTCAATTCTTATAAATATGTTTGAGCTGTTGACATTCAAAATAAAATTTGCCACATATTTTCGTGAAATTTGTTTATCTATTTCGTGTTTTTTGGCATTTTCATATTCAGAAAATAAAATATTTTTTTTATAAAAATATAAAAAAAATTGTAATGGAGTTTAAATATATATGTTTAGCTGTGATTATGTTTAGCTATGATTATAAAGTTCGTTAAGTGCCAACCAGATATACGTATATATATATATATAGAAATAATGAATAAAGAAAATACATAAATAAATTAATTTCTATTTTAAAATTCTTCTTTCTTTAATAATTATTACAATAGAATAGGCAGATATAATATATATTGTGTTCGGGTAAGGTCAGCTAAAGTATTCACTATATTCAAAATTTGATTTTTGGATTTCAGTTAGTCACCTATATTTATCTGTCTATTCAAAACAGATTTCTTATTATAAACAAAAAAATTTTAATTAAAAATTGGATTAATTTTAAATTAATGATTAATGTAAGTTTTCTTATTAAGTGCATTCAAAATATGTTGATAAGGTTTATGAGTATCTATTTTGTCTATATATTTATATTTTAAAGTTTTTTATTATTTATCTTTTGCGTTCATTTAAATCGATCATCTATCGTTTGTTTGGCTAAGTGCCATAATATCAAATTTCATTATTACTTGCAGTCATACAGCCTTATTTTTAGATCCATTCTCTGTATACGATCTTACTATCTTTAGTAAACAATTTGTCGTCAATAGTTCTTTAATTAATTTAAATGATATTGTAAACCATAGACACTTAAATAATCATAAGTAACATAAGTTGTTCCTATATCAGTTATAAAATGTTATAAGACAATATTGCCTTAATTATGTATAAAAATTGTTTTGTATGGAATTTGAATTCTTCAATTATAGTATGTATTATGTAGACACATGTCCCATATAATTGTATATGTATATCAAGTTTCAAAGGTTCATTTCACTTAATTTTTATATAATTAAGACTGATATGTAATATAAGTTGTTTACGTATCGGTCTGCTATGCTTCAATTTGAACACAATTACATATAACAATCACACTTAATTGATTACCCGAAATGAAAAGTTCTCAAGTACTCAAGTATTCAGATGCATACATTTTAAAATGGTATATTTACCAAATGCTCAGTTTACAAATTGATTACAAGTGCAATTGAGACTCCGTTTCTTAATACAAGTGCTTCGAAAGAAGCAGACAGTATTATGGCTGTCTATATGGCTGTATAAGTGGGGTTCAAATGAAATTGTGTAGAGTAAAATTTGGAGTAAGGGAATATGTATACTGCAGCATATATTATGTTGAGTCATCATCTAAAGTACAACAAAATACTCCACCCTCAACAAAGAGTATGAATAATTGTGGTTTTATGGTATTGTCATGAGTAAGACCGTTGGATGTATTATTCTATAAACGCTTTATTTATATTTTTTCTTTTTAAATTAAATGATTTTATTACTTTATGCTGAATTAGTGCTTAATTCTTCTCATTCTTCAAAGAAACTAAGAAAAACAAAATATTTAAAAAAAAATGTCACATATGTTGTGTAGCACATCTTTTTGTGCTCTCCCCTAACTTATGGCGCTCCTATCGCTTCATCTATTTTATATAATTCCCCCTTTCTTTATTTTTATTAACACTTGTCAAGTAACAGCATTTAAAAAATTTTACAATTAAAGTGATAAATTATAATATATATGAAAGAAAAATCGTTTCTTTCAACTCGATAAAGATATGCCCCAAATACGACACTTGCTTTTTCTGGTCATCTATACTCTCTACTATAGTGTATCTCTGATTCTGTTGAATTCTTTTTCTTATATTTTTATAAAAAATTCAGCTAGATAAGATATTGTTTCTACATAAAGCATATTTAAAGGGAAAAATATATATTTTTTTTATATTTTATGTCTCAAAAATGATATGAGATTGTGCGGATTCATGAGCTGTTGAAATGAACTTCTAAAAAATGCTATTAAATGCTATGAAATTACCCCAGAGGCAGGATTAATTTCAAAAAGTGTAACTTTTTTAGGGTTAATAGAATGTGGGAAATATACTATATTGTGTTATAGCAGACATATAGTATATATTGCCCTACTGTTGACCTTATTAGTGTACATCAAAGACATCTATTAAAAATCTATCTAATGAGGTAACAAGTTGAATAAAAATATGTAAACTCATAATTAAAATATTGTAGAATTTATTACAGATATAATTATATTAGTTTAAAAAATTAAAAAAAAATTATAATTAATATGTACTTAAACTTTTAGTATTTTATTTTTTTCTGATAAAAGTTCTTTTATAGGAAGTTGTTGAAACTTTGAATGTTTAAAGAATCACGAGACTACATATTTTAAAATTCCCATTCAGTTAATAATAAATTAACGTATTATAAAATATAGTATAATATTCAATAGCTGTAAATATACTTACTAAAAATTTAAGTGGGCTTAGTGGTTTACTTATTATAAATAAATAAAATATTACATAAAAAATATTTATATTATATGAGAAATGAATTTACGGTAGCACATTGGGCCTATAGGTCTAAGCGGTTCCCTAGGAATGGTCGGTATAATCTATGAGAATGGAATTACTTTTATTCTTATTACTTTTATGAATTGCAAATCAATTTTTTTGGATTGCAAAATTCTTATTATTATTGGTCTTTAGAAATATTTGCTATTAATATCACAACAATATTTATATTTTTATGTTATTTATTTTGCATCAATTTAATATATATAATGTGAATATTTCTATTTTTTTTTAAGATATTAATATTATAATTACTAATATTTTATATTATTCTTATTAACTTTTGTTTGGGAAATTTTTTACATATAATATTATAATAAATAACAATATCTCCACAATTTTCTTGTAATATTTTTTTGTGAATATTTTTTTTAATATTTTTTTAATTTTTTTTAAATTTTTTTTTAATTTTTTTAATTTTTTTAAGATATTAATATTATAATTACTAACATTTTATATTATTCTTATTAACTTTTGTTTGAGAAATTTTTTACATATATTATTATAATAAATAACAATATCTCCACACATTTTTTGTAATATTTTTTTGAATATATTTTTAAATATTTTTTTATAAATTCTTTTAAATATTCTTCTATATATTCTTTTAAAGTTTCTTTTATATATTATTTTAAATATTCTTTTATATATTTTTTTACTTTACCGTTTTTATAACATTTTAAAATATATTTTTATGTGCAGCAATTAGTCGGTGACGTGACATTACATATTTTTGAACTTCAACTTTTGTGTCTTTATATAAAATTTTGTGTCTCATTCTCTCAAATAAAATAAAAATTAATTAAAATTCGTTTTTTAGCTACTTTTTATTGCTCTAAATAGAGTCAATAAATTTCAAGTGGCTTTCAGATTTAGCTAAGAGTGATTTTTTAAGTGTTCAAAAAACATCATTCTTTTATATTTGTAACATTTAATTATCATTATATGAAGTTCATTAACACTAATGTTCGCTCAAATCCCAATATAACGTAATTCGGTTTTTATGTGGCCAAGTGCTTTGCTTTATGAGACATTTATGGTTCACAAGTGTGCATTAGAATTAAAGTAAAATTATAAAATGAAGACGAAATGATCTTTTTTAAACTATATATACATTCATTGCTTTTTATTTAAATCTTTTTATTATTTTTTTTTTTATGGATGATGTTTTAATAAAAACTATTTTTATATTGCAGGACACAAATTTCGTCGTGGCATGACAGAATTCTCAACAAACAACGACATCAACAACAAATCACATCTTTCACAACCGCTTCAAAATTCACCACGCCACTTTCAACATCCTACTCATTTTAATCATAACCAACAAAAACAACATCAAAATTCTCCTCAGCACATTGCTAATATTAATAAACATTTAACTCATGCATTAAAACAAAACTTTAACAATAAAAATAATCAACAAACGCTTCCTTTAAATTCTTCTGCAAATATAAATAATAAAAACGTCACCCTAACATCAACAGCATCAGCAGCAACAACTGCTACCAATTCACCCACATCTGCCATACATTCCCCATTGCACACATATAGAAATCCATTAAATAGTCCTAACAATTCACCATTTGCATATGCTTATTACGATAATAACATCGATCAACAGCTACAGCAACAGCAACAGCAACATCCACAACAACAACAACAATCGCAGCAACAGCAGCATACAAAGATCACGTCATCAGCATCATCTCAGCAACTTCAGTTGCTGCAACAGCATTTGCGTAGCACAAAATTGCCAATTCTAACGCAAACACATTATCAGCAGCATTTAAATGATTTGTTATTGCAGCAACAACATTTGCAACAACAGCAGCAACAATTGTTAAATGCCAAAGATGCTGATGATGAACTGAGTGAGGAGAGTCTCAAACAGAATGTTGCAATAGTATTAAATAATTTGGATCGTTATAATAACGCGTTGCGCAGCATTATTTTGAATGAGGAAGTGAGCAGCAGTAGCAGCGTCTTCCTGGACGATAGTTTTCTAATTGGCAGTAGTGGTAATAACAATTTCTTGTTAAATAGTGGCACAACAATGGCTGCACCAGCAACACCAGAATCAGACTACAATAGCAATGCAACAACACCGGGGTCGCGTAGTAATATGCTTCCGCACGATAGCAATATGTTAACGCAACAGCACCAACAACAACATTTGGTAGGTTTTGCTACAACAGCAACAGCTTGTGGTGGCGGTGTTGGTAATAATATTATTAGTAATGGTATTGGTGGCTTTTGTTCGCTTGGCAACAATGTTGCTAGTAATAATTTAAATTGTTCCCTTGCATCTTCACATGATTTTACTCATGACAATTCCGATTATCAGTGGTTTCTGGATTACGGCTATCGAGATGGTTGTGGCGGCATGCAACGTAGTGTCTTATCTTCACTATCGGCGTCATACAATGGTATAGGCGATCTAATCTATTATGAGGATATTGCCAAAAATTTAGATGCTAATCTTGCCGAAGTTGATATGGAAAGTTTTCGTGCTGAAGATATGCATTCATTGCTCTATTTACCATCGTACTGTAAGGGTATCGGTGGTAATAGTCGTTTACAGCAGTCGCTTATGTTGCAACAAAATATGTTGCCACAAATAACACAACATGGACATAATATTTCACAGACTTCAACCACTTCGACTAATGAATTGATCGACAATTCAATTTGTAAATCGGAGTTGCTTTTTTCACCAGTTAAAGAATCGCATATATCAGTGGACTCATTGGATATGGATGCATATCCGGAAGATGGTGATATTATATTGACTTGCCAGGCGAATAAAGACAATTACACAATCGCATTTGAGGGTAGCGTGTTGTATTCGGATGACAGCTTTTACGGTAAGTTTACAAAACTATAAATTTTAGAGTATTATTTAGTTTACATATATAAGACATATACATATAAGACAGTCAATAAAGTTTTTGTTATTAGAAGTTATTGGTTATATGCTATTATTTTTATTTTTTATTTTTTATTTTTTATGGTAACCAAAAATATGTATAGATATGTTTGTATATATATAATTATTTAAAAAATATCTATAAACATATATAAGAATATATATTATAAAATATGTAACATATATTTTATCTATATAAGATATAAATAAAAAAAATAATACGATGATAAATCGGGGACGAAATAAAACATAACAAAACCCAATATTATAACAGTAGAACAAAACTATAAAATTAAAACACGAAAGTAGGAAAGGGGTAAGAGCATATAAGACTTAAAAACAATACTTATTTTTTATCTCTAACAATGCTGGTTTTGTCAGTTTATAACTTATATTATATTAAGTTAAGATGTTAATAGATTCTTACAAATTATTAGAAGAAGGTTGAGCCTTACGGTAACGTAACATTGACTTTGATATACTTTACATTGATTTTGATATACATATTCACAACCTTCAATGGAATCTAACATAATCAAATATAAATTCATAAAGCCACTGTGGAGGTTCTTAGTTTTGTTATTATATTAAGTTCCTGTTCTGTTGATAATATCAATGCTTAAAACATAATCCTTATGCTTGTCTTAAAAAATCCCTTAATACCAAAAAACCCGTACATATTATTAAATAAGCTTTATTTTAACATACTGTATGTTGTTAAAATCTTCTTTTTAATCTTATTATAATACTATTTTATAATCTATTATTCCATAATTTATTACCGTATATTATATTATTTTTATAATATTTCTTATATAAATATCTAAATAAAAACACTTTCAGTTACTTCTGAAATAGTCTGACAAATTTAAGTTCGATGATTTTCACTGATCCTATAAATGTTAGTCTAAGTGAGCCACTGTCCAAAAGCGTCTATTGCAAAAAAGATCAATGATATAAAAATTCTTCAATATATAATAGTCATTTAAATAAGGTATTATCATGCAATATCTTTGAAAAGTTTTGAATGATACTAGTTATTTTCCTTATAAAGGTAGATTTATTTATAAAGCTTTATAATTAAGGTATTATCATGCAATGTATTATCATGGTATTATCATGAAATTGTAAATGATATAAGCTATTATCCTTTAAGTATATTATTATTATATATCGATATAATTATGGTATTATCATGCAATCTTTGTAAAGTTTTAAATAATATTAATGATATTTACTATTTTTCTTTTGAATTCTTTCTTTTTGAAGAACTCTCTTCTGGAGGTTAAGTGATAACTTCTCTTATTAAAAAACAAATACTCTTTGCTATACTCTTCAATTATTTATTCATTGTTCTTTACCAATAACAAATTGTACTTTTGTTTATCGATAAACAGTTAAGTGGAGGAATTGTTCGTAATTAGCTTATCTGGTATCGTACAATGCAGAAATGTCAAAATACCATATATATTGTTATTATAACAAGTCATTCACAGTTTAACTAAATCTTAGGGCGGTCTTTTGAATTTCCCAATTATCTTAGCGCGGATTAAAAAGGTTGTGTCAAAAAAAAAGAAAAACCACAAGATGTTTTCCTCATTCAGGTAAACAAAATGTGAGTTTATATATCAATGTATTATCTGTAGCCTTTTCAAAATTAGCAAAAATTAGAGAATAACGTTATCAGGTACAACTTAACGACATTAAATACTTTCAAGCTAACGATCAGGTAGAGACAAGAAATAGAAGTATAAGATATCATAGTTTATTAAGTATGATATAAGGAATAAGTTCATTTTATTTTTAACTGTCGAACTGAACTGTAACTGTTCTTACTACTTAAATAGTGAATGTTAAAATTTAATAAGGATAGAAAAATATTAATTTATATTTGAAGTTTAATAATGGTTTTCTATCCACGTGACTTGCAAAACTTAACTTTTAAGTTAATTAAGTTGAAAAATGTAATGCAAAATTTTATAATATCTTTAACAGCGGAACCAAATGATATTGCCTTGAAGAATAAACAAAATTGTATCAACTTGCATAATAACTTGGATGATATCGTCAAACGAAAGTCCTTGGATGTGTCGATGTCGCGTTCAGAACAGCAATTCACACCGCGCAACAAACTACAGAAAAGTAGCACAATTCAATTGCAGAGGTAATTTTTATTGATTAAAATATTTTTTATAGTAAAAAAAATATATATTTAAAATATTTCTGCCATAACGCCTAAAGTTCAAAGTTAAAATTTAAATTATGTAAATAGTAGAACTCAGAAAATTACTTAAACATTTAGGCTTTCGTGCGCTAAATTTATCGTACCGTTCGGTAAATGTAATTAACATTTTTTAATAAAAATGAAATTAAGTTAAATTTGCCTTTTTCGTTTTATAAATTTTTTTTCTGTGTACATTTCCGTTTTATAACGATAACATATATGTAAGTAAGTTTCTATATGATTTTGTAGAAGTGAACAGTTCCACAGTCATTTTTTAGTTCCATTATGAAAGGCACATGCAGTTGGTTGGGGTCATATCAATTGAGTTCAATTTACTTTTATTACGCAAATGCAGAACTTTTTTAGAGCAAATTTAAATTGAATTGTATTTATACATATATGAAATACATAAAACAATATTGTGATATTCTGTGAAATGTTTGTAGACATTTAAAATAGTGAGTAAAATACTAAAATCCTGTGTCAAGGCGAGTCACACAAACAATTTCAGTTAACGAGACTCAATAACTGCTCAATATCTAAATATCTTCAATTTTATTTAAATATTTTTGTACTACTTTAAATTTCACCAAAAATTAATTCTTTATTTATTTTTTATTTTTTATACAGATATCCTTCAGGTAACAATAATACATCCGATGTTATTGCACCGCAGCGTCAAATTTTCAACTGTGCCGTACGCAAGAGTAGCAGCTTACCAAATTTGCGCGACAAAAAAGAGTTCATGACAAATTATAGCAGGCCACAACAGCTTAACGTTTCGCAAGCTGTTAGCACTTCCACAGTTGAATCATGCAAAACCAAAAATTTACTTCCGATGTGCCAGATGCCAATATCGTGCAATTCTACAAGTGTATCTATTACAGATTGTTTAACTGCACGATGTCAACAGCCACAACACCAACAGCATAACAATCATCCGCACCAGCAACATCACCATCATCAACATCAGCAACAGCAACAGCAACAGCAACAACAGCAGCAACGTCATAAACACCGTTGTTGCTGTTCATCAGCTGGTAATAGTCACAATTCGTGCACATCTGCTACACCACCACAGCAACAGCAGAAACACGCACATATTTCAGGTTCTACATCGTCGGGCAATTCAAATCCACCCGCTTTTAATCTAGTCAAGCTATTTATCAAACAGAAGAGTAGCAATTGTTCAATTGATGATCAAGCTAGCGCACATACCTGTATGGATGTATCTTCTGGTTGTTGGCCTTCTAGCGATGCAGCCGGTTCAAGTAGTAGTTCCTCACTGGAGCAACGTTTACGTAAAAAGAGTATGAATGACTCTGGTAAAGGTTCAGCTTTAAGTAGGCATGATGAGGAGGATATGCGTGCAGAAGATGATTCAGCGTTTTTAAATAATAAAACAGGTGAACATTCCACACCAAAGAAATACACACGTACTCGTCATGATAATGCTTATTATGATGAAGAGGATGCATATTCAAGTTCTGCTGGTTCACTTACAGCCACAAATTCTCCAGCACATAGACGACGTAGTATGCCTCTAAAGAATCCCACACTTTGCCAACTTGTAACAAATCATAATATTGGTACTTCGATGGGTAGTATGCAATCTTCTGAAGCTAGTCGCAGTAATTCCGAACAAATAACACAAGTCTATTTATCGTCCGGCACAGCAAATTCAGGTGCGAATACATTAGAACGTAAGAAATCACGTCGCACTAATGATTGTAATCGTCCAACATCAACAGCTTCAAGTTCCGAAATGATTACACGCTCTATGCAAACATCTTGCGGTTCCTTAAGTACACGTAGCAGTCTTAGCGATCGTTTTCGTTGTGTACCTCCATCCTTCCTTGAGAAACTGAATAATCTTGGTGAAGAATGTCAAGCACCAATCTATGTTATTTATCCTAATTATGCGTTACCTGATTTGGGTTTTGTTAAAACACATGCTTCAGCAGATATGATTTTCTCACCTTTTAACTATAAAATGACAATCGGTAATGATAATGGTTCGAATGATGCGATTAACTCAATGAAAAAACGTTTTAGTTTAAGTGATAATGAGAATGAGATCTTAAAGACTATGGATTACAAGCATGTCATCGATTGGAAATCTTTAGCAACTTTGTTACCAGCAGAATATCGTAGACGCTTAAAACACATTCCGCAAGTCAATAATATATTGCACGAACTTGATAGTGAACTATCACAACGTCCGCTGTTCTGTATGACACCACCTATAAGACGTAATCGGCCACATATATGTGAGTGTGCACAATACTTCCAAAATCAGCAAACACAATTACAAGCTGGTGAAGAGGCTGGCGGTTCGTCCAGTTCTGGTTCTAGCCAACAACCAAGTTCCGGTTATCGCGGTTCATCAACCCTATTGACTGATTCAGAATTAGATAATACAGATCCATTGAAACAGATGTATGTATACCAATATGAACAACAACGTATGGATTCTGGCGTTGAAACAAGTCCGGTAAGCAGAAAAATACCACCACAACCAATGCCACGTGGAATTTTGAGAAAAACTTCATCCCAAACTCGTACTAAACGTAACTCTATGATAGAAGAACAACATACAAAACTTTCTAAATTAGAAAAACGTCGTAGTTTGCAAGAGCCACCTTATCAACAAGGTGTTGGTTCTTCAGAGGAACTCTATGAAGTATTTGAAGAAGAATCCACCGATTTATATGCCATACCACAACCGCGTAAAGAACGTCTTTCACGTAAAGATCTAGATGCACGTGCACGAGCTGAAAGTTTTCTCTCCGCTTTACCACGTTCCGAACTTCGGTATTATGCTGAAATTGCCTCCATTTTGGAATCTTCCGAACAGCAAGTAGAATATGATGCGGCGGCACTTAAAAAAGAAGTTAGTCGTGCTTTAAGTCAGCAAAAGAAAGTTTCATTTAATGATTTGACTGAGGAGGAAGAAAATCAAGTATTACAACAACGTTTGTTGCAGCCAGATACACGTCATCAACGTTTCACAACACCACCAAATTCACCAAACATTTCGATGGCTGGTGGTGCTTTACGTATGCATGGTGGACAAACAGTACCACGACGGAACTTACATGGCGAAAAACCTACAACGCTCGATGAAAGAGAAAGACGCAAACAAGAAAGCAATCACTTCAAACGTTTACAAATACAATGGGAACTGATGAGTAAAGACTCGACAATGTTAAAGGATCTCGCAAATGCTCAACAAACAAAAAGTGGAGGATCGACACCAACTAGTGCAGCGGCACAAAAATCACGTATTCCACGCCCTGTGAGCTATCCAGCTGGCAAGTGAGTGTAATTTTTAAAAAAATACAAAAAGGATATACCTAAAATATTTATAAAATGTATAATAAAATTTTTTTAAAATATATTTAAAATATATAGAAAATATATTTAAAATATATAGAAAATATATTTAAAATATATAGAAAATACATTTAAAATATATAGAAAATATATTTAAAATATATAGAAAATATATTTAAAATATATAGAAAGTATATTTAAAATATATAGAAAATATATTTAAAATATATAGAAAATATATTAAAATATATAGAAAATATATTTAAAATATATATTAAATAATATATATATGTAAATAGAATATATTTTAAAAATATTTAAAATACATACAAACTATATTTAAAAAATATATGAAATACTGTATATTGTAAATATTTTAGTAATTTATTTTATTGTATTTATTTTTAATTATTCATAATTATTTGTAGTGGTTTGTAATACTTCTAATAATTGTAATTCTATTATAGTGAATTTCATTAAAAAACGACAATGAAGGACAACAAAATACATTGTACATTTATCTGATTTTTAGTATGTAATTTGCTGTTATGGAAGTCAGTGTCGTTTCTTAATGAAAAGGACTATATTTGCAAATGATTTATTAATTTTTATATCTATCGTTTCTTTATACATTTGTTTTGTAAAAAATATTTATATTTATATTAAACATTTTAAATTTTCTTTTGCACTTTTTTTTTGATTTTTGCACATCTATCATTTTGTAAAAATTATGCATGTCTACGTAGAAGAACTGATAATTTCAAAAATGACACAAAATCCATTAAGACACCAATAAAAACTTGTGTATCTCCACAAATTGCTAGAATTACGACACAAGAGCATACTGGTAAGACAACACGTTCACCAAGCCGTATTGTGCCACCGAAGCGTTACAGCATGACATCGTCTCCAGTTACACCAGGGGGAACATCTCCATCTACACCGACAGGCATCACAACTACTACGACGCGTGCACGCACTCCAAACAGTCGAACTTCAGTTACAGCACCAAATACACCAAAACGTAGAGTGCAGTCACCAAGGTGAGTACCAATTATTATAGTTAATTTGTAAATAAAAATATATATTTTCATTATTTATAGAACCGTTCCAAGAGTGCGATAAGTTATAACAGCTACAAATATTGTTAAGTCTTAATGGGAACTGATTGAACTGATGGAACTGATTTATGTATGGAAACGAAAGGATGGTGCAGAATATGTGTGGTGTTTAGTTAAATTAAATTGCGTTGAACTTAAAATATATGATATATTATTAACATATTATATTATATATAAACTATTACTAAGTAAATACTAATAGAACAGTATAATACTTAACAGCAACAAAATGTAGTTCAGCTACAGTGTTATCAACAAGAATAATATTTTTATTTTGCTATTGAAGAAATTTGGTATTATTTACCTGTTATAATGTATGTATATCCCCAAAAGTGATATTTAGGAGAGAAAGCCTCAAGTAATATTTTAATTTGCCTCTGATAGAATTTGTACTATTTTCGTTTTTCTTAAATGAATCGTAATTTTTTTATTTGTAATATAAACTAAACAATCGTGAAATAAGTATATTGATTTAAAAAATATATTACCAAACTTATATATCTAATATATATATTTATATAGCTTTTTAAAGAGTATCAAGTAAAGTTTAAAGCTCTCATTTTTAGCTAATATTGTATTTGCATAGTAAATTCTTATTGTTTATGTTTAGTTGCGATATTATACATAAAGCAGAAATGTTATATGAAAAACATAATAAGAAACATTAAACATTACAATTTATAGATGAATAAGATTTTGAAACTGTATATTTTTTATTCTCAAGTACATATATATAGATATATATAAATATATATATTAAACATTATCAAAGCGAACAGAAAAGCATTAAAACTAGCTCAAAATAAATAGCAAAAATATCATACTTTAACAATAAAGAATATATTATATATAAATATATATAAATAAATATAACGGTATAAAAATTTATTTAAAAACAAAAAATATAAATGAATAAAGAAATTATTTCGCATACGTATTAAAATATTTGAGTACTTTGAAAAGCTGCTGAAAGCTGAATTAAAAAAATTATAATTTCAATTTGTCAATAATTTAAAAAAATTTTCCTTTAATTTAATCCAACAATTATCGTTACGACGGTATGATGATATATATAATTTTTCTTTAATTTTGAGTTAAAATGCTTAGAGCTTATAAAAGATTTCCTTTGCTAATTACTTCAATATAATGGAAATATATATATTTTTTTTAATTTACAAAAATATGCATCACATATAGTCGCGTTATAAATACATATAAGTATTTTTAATGTATTATACCTGATTAAATTAATTTAAAGAAATTTGCATAATTTATTTTGTATATTAATTTAATTAAAAAAAATGTGAACTTATATTATTAAACTATAAATAAATAATAATTGCTTCAAAAATTGTATTATAATAATTTATATGATTTTTAAGTTTTTCATTTTAAAATCTTCTATATTTTAATTTATATATTATTTTCCTTTTAAATTCCTATTGTATAACAATTAAATTATTTATAACCTTGTTGTAAATTATTTCTATATGGTATTGTAAAATTATAATTCTATTTCACATGCTATCTAATAATAACAAAATAAAAAAAAACTATTTGCAGAAGAATTTATCACAACATACAATAAAAAAAACAAAATACAAAATATATACAAAACCTCAAAAATGTAAAAAATAAATAATTTTGATTTAAAATATTAAAATATTAATAAATAAAAGTATTAATAATAAATATAATTAAATTATGTGTTTTTTATATTTGACATATTATGTCTATTGTAATATTGTATACAAATGTGATTGAAGATCAAGAAATAAACACATTAACATTTATAATCGTAAGTTAGGAAACTGAAATTAGGTTAATGATGTTATTGTGGTAACTTGCAATGAGATTATATTGCAATGAGATAAAATCGGATAGGGATAAATTATCTTTATTAAAACCAAACAGAAAACAAATTCCTTGTCTTGTAGTCCTTTCATTTTTCTTTGCTGTATAGGTCGTTAACTGAGTTCTTTCTGATGAGACTCAAAGACTCAAAGCCACTTTTCATTGAAAGGAAATCCAATATTCTCATTGCCTTGTACTTATATCAGACTTATGGTAGGTTTACTTACACAACACTGCAATTTAGGGAACCATGCTAGAAGATGGAATCTCCTTCTCAATCATACTTGTCACAACTATGGGGGAAATGATGAGAGTGCCTCTCAACTTCTCTGTTTTTGTCTAAAGGTTCCAAGTGGTTTTAAACCCTGCGTTTTCCCATATATACCGTAGCACAATGGGCCAATACGCCTTAGGCATCCTTAGGCCTAACCCAATATTCTCATTGAGATGCCTTGTAGTAATATCAAACTTATGGTAGGTTCACTTACAGGTCACTGCAAACTAGGGAACCATGTTAGAAGATTGAATCTCCCTCTTAATCATACCTGTCAGCTATGGGGGAGATGATGAGAGTGCCTCTCAACTACTCTGTGTTTGTCTAAAGGTTCCAAGTGGTTTTAAACCCTGAGTTTTCCCATATATACTGTAGCACAATGGGCCAATAGGCGTTAGGCATCCTTAGGTCTAACCCAAAGGTCCATTTAGCTTACAACAACTATAAATTTTTATGAAATGCTTAATTAATTGCCGCTTCAGAAATTTTAAAATTAAATAACTCTACTTCTATTCAAAACTATTTGTTTTTATATCTGACATTTTTGCTCCAGAATGATGTCTTTTCATTGTTTTTTTTTCATACTATATCCTATTGTTCCGCATCTGTATGATTCTTTTAGGCCGTATAAAGCGCTATAGTATTATAAAATGAATAATCAATTCGTTATGTGATAGCCGTTAAAACTTGGAGTCGGAATTACCTGTACACCTTAGAAGACCGTATAGTTTTCTTTGAATTATCCTTTCGAACTTTGCAAGATAATAGCAATCATGAATATTATGTGCCCAAATTTCAAATCTATATGTTCATATAGACTGAAATAGTATTTTGTCTTTAGCAGTTTTCTATGTCATCATAAAAGCTTGGATTTAGGCACTGGAAAACATAACTTCTAAATTGTGTTATGCGGTTATCGAAATCGCAGCTCTCCAACTGTCACATAATTTTTAATTTATTCGCAGGTTTTTTAACTTTATCAAGTGCTTTGTTTTGGACGTGTTTATAAAGGGACTATTGTTGTTACTAAGTTTTTTAAACTTTCGGAAAGCCCATCCAATCGTAATTTTTTTGTAATCTATGTGGAAATTGCTATATCTGTATACTTACAGATCTGTAAACTCACAAGTTTATGTTGATTTGTTTAGTAAATATATCATCATTTCTGACCACTTTAGGTTGATTACCTTTTTAATGTAATCTTGTATAGATGGATTCGTAAATTTATTTAAATTGTCACGGCGAGAATTGCAATTCCTTAAAAATTATAACAGTCACAAATAATCTTAGTGCTCCAAACATATTTCATACAAAAGCAATTTTTGGGACAAACGTTTTCGGAAATATGAGCTTTGCCCAAAACAGTACAAATTTCTCTAGGCTATAATATAAAATAAGTAATTGCTACCTCCCTTTAGTTGGTGATTATAGAAAAATGTTTCGTGATATAGTATAAATCCTGATGAATTTTTAAAAATATTTAAGCTATTTAAAAGGATAGTTTTTAATATATTTAGGATTTATTGACTGAATTTACCGTTCTCTATACCGTTCTCTCTTGCTCATAAGATGGTAATAGTTTTTGGGCTAGGGTAAGGCTTTTATGCACTGCAAATAGCTTGATTTATTGTGCTCCCCTTTGTATTTAGAAATTTAAAATCTCTAGGAAAGAAAACAGCTCCTTTGGAGGGAGCTTTTGAAGATCTTCATCCTCTAGTTGGTATGTACCTTGCTTATAAGATACTATGTTAATAAACAGAAGAGTTGGTAGTTGTTTATATATTTATATATATTACTTATATAATTATATATATAATAATTACATGAAATAGTACCATGTGATGACAAATATAGTTTTAATTAATATTATTACAACTAAATTATACGAAGTATAATTTTTCACTATTTTATGTGATAATGAATTGTTCATCTAGACAAGCATTTAATTTCAGATAATTTTTAATACCAATTTTAGCTGAAATTATCATCTACAACTGAAATGTTTATTAAATGAAATACAATCAATTTAATTGAGCTACATGTGTACTGCAACACTTTAGAATAGCAATGGTTTATTTTACAAGGCAACTGATGAATGACCCTAGTATCTCCTCCATATTCATGTTTCACAGTGGGTAAAAAAAAACAACGCCAACATCGATTAAGTGTTATTGCTGCAACAAAAATCACCGACACAATGTGATGAAGAAGAGAAGTGCAATGTGGATGGATTTGGATTAGTCACATCAAAAGCTACAAATAATAAGTCGATACTTTTAAGAAGAAAACAAAACTGAATAGATAGCTTTGTAATGAGTGAATGCATTTCAATGTAGCAGCCAAAGCAATTATCAATCCCAACAAATATCAAAGGCAAGCGACCTCCGCCTAAGCAGAGCAAAATATGTGCGCCGTGAAAAATGATAAAGTCAGTCGTGTGTGGTGCGATTAATTAGTATGAGTTGCGAAAGATTAACATATATACTTAAATGGGTTAATTGCGGAGAGAATTTCAAAAATGCATTTTGAGGTTAAATGAGTGGAAATAATTTTAAATGGAAATATTTATTAAAAATTTAATTTTAACTAAATATACTTTATTTATTTTATTCTTTATTAATTTAAGATTTACTTAAATTTATTTAATAACACAAATTTTGATATACAAAAATTAATAGCATCACATGTGTAATATAAATATTATATATATTTCCTATTGCCTCTTGTAATCTGATATAGCTTAGTCCTTTAGATATTGAGCTTTGAGGGTGGAAACTATGTGAATTGATTTTACCACCAAAAATTTTACATGCCATCTAGTGGTATCTATTAAATGCAGTCTATTAGTAATACGTATATATACGTACTTTTGGTGTTTTTAATGTAAATATTATCAAAAATCCGTTGTAAAATTCCAGAAATTTAAGTTAAAAATTTGTTATATGTTATTTGATATGATGAGTTCAAAAGTTTAAGAAAACGACGAGAAATAGGAAGCAAATGAAGATTAAGTGTCGCTACAGACGAATTTCACCCCGATGAAGCACCATGTAAGAGTAAAACTACAGAAAACTGACTTAATATATGACTATATCAGTTGGTGTAGTTTGCTCTGATAGATAAAAACTCTAAAGTATATCAAAGTATATCATATAAAGTATTTCAAATGATTTTGGCTTAGTGGGACCGAATTTTGAATGTAATGGATGAAGACTTAAATTGGTTAAAATTTTCTCGTCTTATGTGCTGCGTTCATTGACCTCAGATTAAAGTCGCAAGTTATTTAACTCAGGTCTACTTTTTGCACAGAATCTTTATTGTT